GCTACTTTTACCTGTGTACTGTACATTTTTGAAGTTAACGTCAATTAAATGCATGATTTATATTGCCTGCTTTATAGTCGTTTATGTTAATGACATACACTATTATTCGAATTATGATATTGTATACTGTAGTATATGGAAAATAAATACAGGACATACTATTGCAAATGGTTATGTGTAGAGGCTATCATGATANTTACGATAAAAATAACGAAATATCTTTAAAAAATAGCTACCGAAGAGCCAAACAATTGCTATTAAGTGATAGAAAAAAGTTTTTTCTAGAGCGAAATTTTGATTAACAAATCACATATTTTTAATTATAAATACGTAAAAGATGTGAAAAACAATTGATAAATCCCCATATAAGATTAACCAACAGCCAAATTCGATTTATAAAAGCGAAACTCGCATCAGTTACCAATAAAAGAGAGGATTAAAAGAAGGATATAAAGAATAACGTATAAACTCGCATATAACACAGCTAACATAATTAACCAGTGGCTAAATTCTATTTATAAGAGCGAAACTCTCATCAGTTACCGATAAGAGAAAGGATTAGACTAAGGAATTATATAGGAAATGATAAGTAAACATTGATTTATATATATATTTTTACAATAAAGGCAGATAAAATGGTCATCATTTGTTATCGTACAATAATAGAAAAGGATGTTAGGTAAGAGGTGAATGGAAGAGGAAGATGAGCAAGAATTGCATCCTCTTGTACAACGGATGTGGCCAAAAACCACACACTCCACAAATGCTACGGTCTGCATCTTTTATTTCTCCATCTTCATCTCTCTCTCTCTCTCTCTCTCTCTTTTTTTCTATTGTTCATTCAACATCGATCCCAAAAAATCCGAAAAAAAAAAAATTGCAGAGGTTCTTGCAGCACATTGAAAACGAAGAAGTTGAATTCGAAATAAAGCGTTGTCAATGGAAAGAACTTTCAGCTTCCTTCGTATTTTTTTTGGGGGGGGGGGGTTGGATCGATGTAGTTTAAGCTACCTTCTACTCTTTTTTTTCTTTATTTTTCTCCCTCCTGTTTGATTTAGAGAAGAAACGGTTTGCTTAAATTGGATATCAAATCTCTTTCTCTCTCTTAATCAAATTTTGAAGCTCTTTAACTAATAAACTTACACCGTTTTAAAAGGGTTTTGCGGTTAAGCGAACGTGTTCTACAAGAAATTATGAGGTTTGTGCTGCGAAATTATGAGGTTTATGACGTAAATACGCGTGCCAGGTGGGAATTGTGAGAATTTCTTTTTTTTTTTTTTTTCTTTTTTTATTCCGGTTGTAATCTCTCTTAAATTTGCATAAGTTTGCGGGGAAAACGTCACAAAACTTATTCAAATATCGCAGGATTTTTCTGGGTGTTTTTTCGTTTTTGAAAAAATTATAGGGATTTTTTTTCAGTTTTTCTTGTTTTTTTAGAGATTTTTAGGGATTTTTCTGAGTGTTTCTCGTTTTTTAGAAAATGTAAAGATTTTTCTCAATTTCTCGTTTTTTGAGAGCATTTTGGTGATTTTTCTGAGTTTCTCGTTTTTTTTGGAGAATTGTGGGGATTTTTCGGAGAGTTTCTCATTTTTTTAGATAATTGTGGGGATTTTTCTGAGAGTTTCTCGTTATTTTAGAGAATCGTGGGGATTTTTCTTTCTCGTTTTTTTAGATAATTTTGGGGACTTTTCCGAGAGTTTCTCGTTTTTTGAGAGATTCTGGGGACTTTTTTGTGTCTCATTTTTGACAGAATTCTGGGGATTTTTTGAGGGTTTCTCACAAAAATCATTTTTTATATAGAATTTACGATATTAAATAAATTTTTACGTGAAAATTTCGATCTAAAATCGCATGTACAGCCTAATTAACAAGACAAAAACGCATAAAATTGGATGGATGTAGAGAGTAATACAATAATAAAAAAAAGGTAGAAAACAATTAATTTGTTTCTAAAATTTCAACTTATTAAATAATATTAATTAAATTTAAAAACAATTTACTATTTTTAAACACATATTCTCAATTAAATTAAGGCACACAAGAGTAAAAAATAATAATAAGAAGAATTTTAATATTTAATAATTCACGAATTAAGATGCGAGAAGGAAACTTAAAAAAAAAAAATGTTGAGGAAATAGGAAATTGTTGGAGTTAAACTGAAGAAAAATTCTTAATAATTCCCACAAAAATTAATCCAAATTTAGAAATTACTACTACAAAACCACGCTTGTAATTATAGAACCAAGTAGGAATTTACCGTTTGCACGAATTTAGGAAGTATTAATGAAGATAACTAAGCATTAATTTGTAAAATTTCGTGTAATTTTTAATTGATAAACTTATTATTTTTATGATAAATGATAGGAACAATTCCCACAGGATGACATTGGCCTACATCGTTTGGCTAGATGCCAGGCATTTCAATATTCAACAGGTTCCATTGCTCCCTATATCCTGGCTTGGTTCCAGAAATCAAGTCAACATGTGGTTGGCAATGGTCCCAAATTTTACAAGATTCTACACCGTTAGATGCAACAGATTTGGCAATATTTAAAGAGAGATACGCCATTAAAAATATAAAATAAATAAATAAATATGTACGCAATTTACACATGATGATGTAAGAAGGGAGGGATTTTTTTAAAGGATTTTTATTGCCGAATCCTGAGTGGGAGAGGTTAGATTTAGGTTCATAAAAATGCGCTTAAGCCCTATTGATTGTATTCTTAAGGCTATCTGGAGTCTAGAGATCAAGACGTGAAGAAACTGGCGATATATACTGGAGAACTGGAGAAAAAAATAATGGTATTGGGATGCACCGGGATGCTCGGGATCGAATTTTATAGCTCAATTTCTGAAATCGACAATTTTTTTTTTTAAGTGTTTAACCTCGTGCTTGTGTGTGTCGTGTAACCGGTCGAAATTGATGATTTTATCTTATATATTATCTTAGATTGACAGCTTAGATAATAAGGTAAAAGTAGGGATTACATACCTGACCTGAAGAGATGTTCCATGAGGTGTATTCTCTTACTCTGTGTAAAGGTAGATGTGCATACCTTGTGCCCAGCTGCCTCTACACGTCGATCGACGTTGCTTAACACCATCTAGCGACCGTTTTACGAAACTATTATCATCATGGAAATAATCTCTATGATTTCGATTAAAATAATCATCATCGTAATATTAAATTAATAATATGTATCTATTTTAGTAAATTTTAATTATGTTTTTATATTTTTTTTCTTTGTAGTTGTTTAAGGCGGTTAATTTAATGCGTTTAATTTTTTTTTCGGAAGTGTTGCTTGTTTAATGCGTTTTTTTAAACGTATAATTTAATTTTTTAGGTTATTTTTATGTATTAAATGTTGGGAAATTGTATTTATTCTTCTTATATTTTCCAAAGTTTTTGATGGTAATTTTCAGCGTTGCATTAGTAGACATACGCGAATCGATCGCTCCGCGATGCCCGCTATTAAAATAGTTTCCTATATTTATCGACTGTTTTATTTTATTTTTTTCTTTAACTCGCCTCCGTTCGAAAATGTTATTTTAATGTATATTTTTATATCTTTGACAGAACAAGCGACTTAGGCGATCATTTCTGAGCGAAAAGATGCGGCGCGACGCGACGCGACGCGCGATTTTTAGTATTGTCAGCCAGTTGTTCTGGGAAAATTAAATGGTTCTCTTGAATTTCAACACAAATCTACCTTTTTTATTTATTTAAAATCAAGGCTAGATCCTTCCTTTAATGCCTTATTCATTGCTAATTGTAATATTTTTGTAAATTATTTAGTAAAGAGGAGCTACTTTTACCTGTGTACTGTACATTTTTGAAGTTAATGTCAATTAAATGCATGATTTATATTGCCTGCTTTATAGTCGTTTATGTTAATGACATACACTATTATTCGAATTATGATATTGTATACTGTAGTATATGGAAAATAAATACAGGACATACTATTGCAAATGGTTATGTGTAGAGGCTATCATGATATACTCTGCACATATGTAAATAGTAGTCTGTAAAGCCTACCAAATACTGTACAGTAGACCCTACACACTGCCATTTACTTTATATATGTCAGAATAGCTTCTACATACTGCAAATGGAATGTACTGTATTTTGTCTCCACATAATACAATGCATATCATCAAATGACATATCAATAATGAGCCTAAGTACAGTACAGTACATTACATACTACTATATACTGTACATCATTCAAGTAAAGGGCCTAAAGGCTATCATGAAATATGCTATCTGTACTGTACATAAAGTAAATGGCAGTTTGTACAGCCTACTGTACAATATGTATGTTATTTACACCATTTAACTGCCATTTACACTGTGTACAGAAAGCATGTATTGCAATAGTCTCTACATATTAATAAGTGTATTTACAAACTGTAAATGTTTGTTTATATGTACTGTATAGAATACTGATAATCATTTACTATATTGTATAACTCACACATATACAAGTAGTAACGATAATATTAATGCATCATGTACAAAGCTTGTATACATAAAATTAAATGGTAATTATAGTGTTGAGCAACTGTAAATATCAAACTGTATTTATATCTATGTACTGTACTTGATTTGTAAGATGTTACACTCTAAAAGAACAATTAATTGTTATATTTTATTTTAAATTAATGCAATACAAATATTGTTCAATTATTTTTCTTTTATTAACAAGTTTTATATACAAGTACTGATTGCACCCAAAAATCACATCCTCACGAGTATGTACAGTAATCAGCATTTTCTGATAATTTATAATTTATATATAAATCATCATAATTCATACATTCAAATGCACGTTGTGTTTTATATAAGAGTACACAATATATATATAATTCTTTATATATACATACACACACACAAAATCTAAGAGTCTTGTGGAATACAAATGTCGCAGATTGTAACAATTCTTATAACAATAAATCCATTGTAGATTCTTTCGAGTGTTAACAATTTTTTTTTATGAGAAAAATGTTTAAAAGCTTTGGACAGGAATGAAATTCAGACACATTCTTTGATACAAAAACAGACAAATTTACAACTTTTCGGAATTCCCCCATTCTCAGCATGTTTCTACAAAAATATCCACATCGTTACGGGAAATAAATGCAGATTAAGATGAGCAAAACAACATTCTTTTTAGTAACTGGCGTAATCACTAGTTAAAGAATGTCTCCGCTCTTATACGATATTTTGGCATATTTTTCTTTCTGCATATTGTTTAATTTGTACTTTAAATTTTACGTCATATAATATATATATTAAAATGTACTGTATGATTACCATTTTAAACATTATAAATACTTATTTGAGTATATAATAAATTTCACTTTTTAGATCTAAGATATTTTGCATCCTTTTATGAAATATTGCACATTAATTCAAAAATGTGGCATTTTTAAAAGCTTCAATATACACTCATAAATTTAGCTGCCATCCAGCAGAAATGGATCTGCTCTACTGTATAGGATGCTCGCAATACAGTATACTCCTGAAACATTTATCAGTGATACACACATTTCTACTAGTAAAGGGCGATGCTCGCGATACAATACAGTAAAGCAAACCTGTCTCTGCAATGCCAGAATTCTATACAATTTCATACAGAGTATCCTCATAAAAGAAGGCAACAATCAAACCATTTTACCAATATTTTTAAATAATAATTTTTATGTATAATATTAAATTTTCTAACAAGTTTAGCAATCTTTTTTACTTATTCAAATGTACATGTACATAAAATTATATGTAGATGTTATATAGAAACAAAAATCTGACCACAGTTGTATCTATAACAAATAGATAATTGGATTAAAAGTAAGTGTAAAAACAGCAGTCTATACGAAAAATAGATATAGATTTAGTGTTATTAAAACTAATATAACAATAGCAGCCAAAGTTAATATAAATTAATCCAAGAAAATATATTACAGTCTGAAAATATAGAAAACATTTAATGATATAACTGAATTAATTAATGCACCTTTAATGGTAGATGGAATTTAAATAATGCTAATGCTCTTCGGGTGTAAACAGTTGAAAGTTTAAGTACAAAAATTCCGCTTTCTACTGTCTATGCTCGAAGATGGCCCGTTAACAGGACAAAAATGTTAGCATTGTTTAAATTAATACAGCTAAGTAACCATATAAGCTATTTCATCCTTATTGATACAAAATAAAACAAATTAATCTTTGCACTGCATAGAAATTAACACCAAAACTCAAAAATCAGACAGAATACAATACAGTTAACTGTTAATCTATAATGTGAATGATAACTGAAACCATGACTTCATTAACCGTCTGTGTGAAAGGTTATGCTGCAGATCAGCTTTGTATCAAACTCAGGTTACGAGGTTGATCAACTGGCACCGATACAAAATGATCACGTTAACCACACCATCAAAATAAACAATTTATAAAAGAAATGATAAAGAGTCAATTGGCACAATGTACAATTATATTAATTATTTACATTAGTGCTGGACAAAGAGGTTAGGCATCACTATGGTTTTTGGAAACGTCATACTTCAGTATCTCAAATACTAATTCTTGTAGCGTATTTTGTCTATTTCTTAAGCTCAGTTATTCAATTGTAAGTTTATACACATAAAGAAAATAAGCTTGTGTCAAAATACATTTAGAAGAAACTGGCAAAGTTTTCATAAAATCAATTTTCTAAATGCTACATTCATTGTCTTTGGCTTAACAGTGACTTTTTAATAATCCTATTTGAGAGAGTTGTGCAAATTATAAAATTACTGAAGTATTAAATTAATGTAGAACACAAAAATGAACACAGTTTTATAATACATAACTAAATTGTTCAAAATAAAGAGTTTAACACATCACATCCAAGCATATTTCAGATACAAAATAATAAAACTATAGTTAAATAAAAGAAGAAAAACTAGAAATAAAGTAATTAAACTCGTAAGTATCAAAATATGTTGAAAAAGATTTTTAAAACTATTACTTTTAGTACCGGGGAATGATGATGTCGATTAATTTAAAAAATAGTTAACTTTTTTCAAGAACACTCTTGAATATAGTGCGCTTGCATACCACACTCACTCATCCGCACAATAGTCTCTGATCACAATTTTTCGATGTTCCATTTGGTACGAAAGATTATTTCCGAAAGGTTTCAATCCTTTCTATTGCACTTTGCACTCCATTCACGTTGCACACTCTAATATAATTTGAGCTGTCTTTAACAATGGTTTCAACTATTCTCCACTGTTCAAACAGTTTGATTGAGTTTCTCAAAGGATCGGCAGCGAAACTTTCCTCTGAAAACAAAAATAAAACAATTTTGTTAAGAACAGAGGTCGCAGCAATATTGTATTCCTTTATTAGTATGCATATATAACAAATGCTTTACCATATAACAATAATCCACGAGGTAGATAGTCATTAGCAGTTTTCCACATTTCCTGAAGAACTGCAGATTCTAGAAAGATATCAAAATGAGCAATTTTTAAAAGAATAAACAAACCAAATATTACAATATATACAAGTAAAACTGAAGAAAAAAAAAGGCCAGAAAGGGAAGAGATAAAGATGATTGATCCCTATTCCCAACACAAGTTACTTCTAAAGACCAATGACGACAACAAAGATTGCTTTGTTTTTCAGTCTAGAAATTATTAATTTGTTTTATATTAGTAACTCCCATTTAATTTGAAGCATTATATCACAATAAACCATAAAATTATGTCAAGGATATAAGTAGACAACTGTAAAATAAATAAGTGCTAAAGAAGAAATTACAAATATGATAGAGGTTAGTCTACTGTTCCAAGATTATGTTTGATAGTCAGGTTAATCCTAAAAATTTTTGTGAGTGGTTTGACTCCATCCATCATACTTGGCCACCCATTATAGGCCTAAATCTGTGATGGGCAGAAAAGAAGGCACTGTTAGTAACCACAATGGACTGAAGGCCAAACAGTTAGAGTCATTACTTGCTACTCTGCGGACCTAGGATAAAATCTGGATGGATCAAACACCATACAAATTTTTTGGGAAACAATCTGTTGGATACATTGGAGCATCCCTCATCACTTGGCCATCCCATTACGCTTGGCCAAACCCACAATGAGTTTGCTAAAAAGGTTCTCTTAGTGTCCACAGGTGGAAAGAGTTTTAGAAACCCACAAGTTTTGAAATCATCATCATTGAAGTAAAATAAAAGATAACAGTACAGAAATTTTTACAGTTAAACCAAATGACCTTCTAAATAAGTGATTTCTTTAATGCAAAAACATTTATCAAATTCACAAAATCCATACCTGCCAATTCGCAACCAACTAATGCTTTTAATGATGATGCAGCAAGCCAATAAGCTTCAATATAGGGTGCAAGAATGCAATAGAAAAACTGAAATTTGTGTTGATCATCATTCTTATGCAACTAAATAAAAAACAATAATGTATATTATATATGTAAAAACATTTAACATTTGAAATTAACAGAGAGAAAAAAAATATTTTCGATTAATTCTGGGTTTACCTTAATTTTCTGATTGAATTCAAATTCCTGCTCTTCATCTGAACTGTCATCAGAAAAATCCAAATTACTTGTACTTGACTGCGAAAGTTTTCTTACTGGATATTCCCTTTCCTTTAAATAGAAAATTTGAGAATAATTTAATATTATTTTATAATTTTTCTGACACATTTAAATATTAAAAATTATTTCATAGTTACAACAGATTATACGTTGAGAAGAAACCATTCATCAATTAATTTAAACTGACGATACTTACCAATGAAACCATTAGAACATTGTCGGAAATCAGATTATCTAGAGCTGTGTTTAGCGCATCGGGTATTTTAGTGCCAGGCTGAAAAGCCAAAAGAAAAGTTTAACATCATACAAAAATTAAAACTATTTCGTAGATATGTGAATAGTAATTACCGGAGTAAATATAAATTCATATTGAAGAATGTCGCATAACATTAATGCTCGGTTTATCAATTGATATCGAGGAATTAACTTGGATTCTGATTGATTAGCTTTCTTCTCTTCTAAGATTGATGATAAAGCATTAACTAAAAAGATTCAAAATATATAAACATTACAAATAATAGAAAATTTATCCTGAATTAATATTTACAAGTGAGTGAATGAGTGTGTTTAGATGTATGTATGTATAGGTGTGTGTGAAATAAGTATTTACAGAAAAATTTATCAAATGAACAATTAGGTTGCATTCACACTGCCAACAACAATGACCACAAATCCTAAATTAGGTCTTTCATCACATTTATTCATTGTCAAAGTGTTCACATTGTTCATTAGTTTTCGTATTTCAGGCACAATGTATATTTGGTTTAGCATTATTCTATGAATTTCTGCACTTTGACCAGAAATGTCTGTTTGAAAAATTAATATGCAGAATAAAATGCTAATTCGTCATTGTTTCTGGACACATCATAGAGCCTTGGTCTTTCATCATCACACAAGATTAGCCATTCCTCCATCTTGTGCGAACAGAAGTGTGGGAAGTACACATTGATTGTCCAATACTATTAAAGCAATGATGTATGTCAAACCTTGGCTAACTTTTGAATGACAAACAACTAAGCAATGATAATGACTAGCGTGAACATTTTACACAAAGATAAACAATAAAAATATCAGTTTTTGTTGCTGTTGTTGTCAGTGTAAATGCAGTCTTACTGAATATGAGATCTATAATTTTATCTATTTTATTTTGGAAAATTCTGTTTAACTTATTTTAAGCTATGTTATTTTTAAATGAAAATAAAATGTTTAATTCCCTTTTTTTATCAAAATAAATATTTAATTTTAAACAGAAAATCTATTTGTAACATATGTATTATTCCTACTATTCTCAAGTTCTGACAAAAGAACTTTTAGTACTTTATTTATTTTGTAATTAATTTTTAATGTTAACATTTAAAATAATTAATATAAAAGCATATCTTACCAATGACACTATCCAACAAAAATGCAGAAATAACAGAATTTGCATAATACTGAAGCTCTAAAATATGTGGTAGCTGCACTACTGGTTTGTAAAATATGATTTTTACATTATTATTTTCAGCTGTGTTTGACGACCATTCCATTTGAATAATTTCCGAAGTAAGTAGCTGTTTGCCTAATAAAGTGTAGGAATGTTTAATTGCTTCGCAGCTATCTTCACAAAATCCGACTGTTCTGTTTCGTTTAGCAATTTCTTCGCGTAACCACATCATACTGTGCGAAAGCTGTTGAAGCGTAGCACCCTAAAATGAAATAAATACTTGTATTTTAATTTTTCTTTTCTCAATAGAAATGAAATTTTGGTTAATTTATATTTCTTACTTTTCTGTGTTTAGTTAGTAGAAGAAATGCCAACAGATTTGTACTCATAATTACGGCAGAATTCGAAGCATCTAAAATTAAATATTCATCAAACAATGCTCAGATTAAATTAAAATTACAAACAACAATAAGTTTTCTCACCGTATACGATTTGTTCAGCTAAATTTTTTATCGTTTGTCGTTGATCTTCAATAACTATGTCAGTTCCATACACGGATGTGCGTCTGGAGACTTCACGAATCGTAGTTTGGACAGAATTTCTTCGACCTCCAGAATACTGATAGGCTTTCAGGGGAGGAAGATTTTCGGCAGATTGTAGAAATTCCTGTTAAAAATTTTTGTATGTATGCTATTTAAAAAGTAATTCATAGCTATAAATATTCAGAATAAACAAACAAACGGCACACAAAGTTTTAATTAGGAATAATGCTATTAATATCTTCCTAAGCTTACGATAATTTCCAATAAAAACAACAAAGATATGCACATCTAAACTATAATCATAATATTAAGAATATATTACAGCACTGTTTAGCATTATATTTTACAGCATCCTAATGTATTGTTGCAGCACGCCAGTTGAAAATCAATGCACTATTCTTTGTACTTCTCACAAAGTCATGCAATCTGCTTACATATAATCAGAATAAATACATAATTAAAACTAAATTCTAGAAATATTTTGTAAACAGTTAATAAACTTGAATGTTTAAAAAATAAAATGAACTCTAAAGCTCTTTCTGAGCTGGAACATCTTATCAAAATTAGCTGTTGCATCAATATAATTTATTAAAATATGAAGTGAATTTTTTTTTAACTCTTTCCACCTGGGACACTAACAGGCCTTTTTAGCAAGCCACATATGGCTTCAGCCAGGCCTGCAATAAGGTGGCTGGGTAGTGAGAATAGAGTCCAACATATATAGATAGACCACTCCCCAGAAAAATTCCTAGGATTTTCTCTAATCTGGCTTTCTCTATAAAAGATGATTATTAAAATACAAAATATATCCAGGTAATAATGCTTAATAATAATATATATATATATCCCTATTGTTAATACTTTACAAAAACATAAATTTAATCTGTGTAATGCAACTATGTAATGTGATGTAAATCAAGTTTAGTTCTTTTATCAAATATGCCAGTGTATATTAAGATAACTATTTTTTAAACAGAATTTTAAAACGTAATAGAGCTATTAATGTAAATAACAGCAAGAATATAAAGAAAATGACATAGGTAAAGCACGATTAATACTATATACATCAAGGCTCAAGACAAACACTTGCAATTTAGATCATAATAACAGTAAATTGATTCACTAAAATCATGCTCCTTAGACAAGTTTGTTTCTACTTACTAGTTTCATGGGAGTAAATAATAAATATATGTGAAAAACAAAAAAAACACCAACTGTCTTAATATATGTGAAGTCCCCCAATTAGTGCAACTCCTGCACATTTAGTGCTTAAAAGAGAATTAGATGAGGCATTGCATTATATGCATATAAAACACCAACAACTGCCATAAATCATTGAGCTATAATTTGTAAATAATAATTATAAATTACAAATGAATTTGGCTCTAGACGGAGGGGTTATGTGCCATCTCGTATTAAAATTATTAATTCATTTGTAATTTATAATTATTTATTCCAAATTATAGCCCGATGATTTATGGCAACGTTGGTGTGTTGTTACTTTGCATCGGGTTAGTAGGGTTGTTTATATTTACATGCATACTGTAGTTTAGCTCCAGTATAACAACTATTTAAATAAATTTACTCTTACAAAAGTATTGTTACTTTAAAAAACAATTATTCAAAAAGGCAAAGAAAAATAAAAGAATAAAACACATCTTATGAAGGGTAATTATTCCTCTTGGTCCCTGGTATATCAAACATACGTTCAGTGGAGTTCCATACAACACATAGATATGTTCATGTTATAGGAAATTGCATTATTGAAACATGCATTATCATTTGATTTTATTCAATTTAAACTTAAACCTAGAAGTTGAAGAAGAAAACTTAAACCTCTGAAAGACAAAATTAGAATTTTGCATGCATACTAGTCACAATTTTTTTATTACGTTATGCAAATTTGTGTTATATGGGAGTTCATTGTTTATCAAAAGGTACACATATACTATATACCAAGGATTTCATTCCTAGGGGAGAGTTTCTGGGTATCTTTAGTACACACAAATTTTATAAAATTTAATTGCTATGACAATAACAAATATTTAATAATTCAAATTAAAAAGCTTTATTTTAAAATATATGCAATTTTCACAATCAAAAATAATCTGGAAGTCTTTTAATACATCTTTCTCAAATCACAGAATCATCATTATACATTAGAAAAGCTTGACTTTCCTTTATACACTTCTAACTAAAACTATGTAAAATCACTTTAAAAAGTCCCAATATTTTCCTGGCACTATTGGGACTTTAAAAAGTCCCAATAGTGCCAGGAAAATATAAAAGAGGATCAACACCATTAGCATTTAATTGTATTTTCACATATTAAGAGAAATATGCTGCATTATTTTTGTATTTTTATTTAAATTATGCATATTTTAATGGATAGGATTTTAGTAAATATTTATAAGATGTAAACATTGTTTACTTTATAAATTAATATTTTCAATAACCTACTTAAATAAAAGGAATGATTAATGCTAATCTGCAGAAAGCTATCAAAATTAAAATTATGTTAATTTGTACTACTTTGTAATATTTTATTTTAGAAAAATAATGTTAAATGGAGTAATAATTATGAGGATCCGAATCCAGACTTTCCCTGTGTTTATATCATTTATTCATAACGTCACATGGTAACAATAAACTTGATAAATAACTGTCAACTTTCACACCTGGGAGAAAAACATCTGTTAAGTTCTCAGGCCTGACAAGGACACTTTCTCATCCCCTCTTGACCTAATATTTTGATTTCAACAGTATAACATATAGAACAGAACAACAAAGTAGGGGAGTCATCACCAGTTCCTCGATTTTCCTGTGCTAAAATATTCAGATAACCTCCTCACCTAATATCTAGTTAACTAAGAACTGAGGAAATAAGAACTGTCATCCAGAACTGTCTTCTTTTGTGTCCGACTGACTTGCAGCAGATCAAGATTTCATACAAGGCATTTATCGCCACGTGCAACTTCTGTAAACTCTCTCTCTCTCTCAGGAATCGCAAAAACGTTAATATCATATATATATCTAATATCTATCAATCGTAGAAATGTATCTAAAAGCTAGAATATTAAAATCAAAACATTGTATGGCCTATAGTTACCAATTAAATAGTTGTTACGTTAACTTGTCACTGCGTAAGTCACTTCTGGTGCACTGTCTCTCCCTCCATCCGGCATCTGTTCACTCACATACACGATCATTCGCGTGAGCACAACGATTTCTGTGTCTGTCCGTAAAGACACAGTGGTGTCAGTCCTAACAAAACTTGTCATTGTGATCTACACCGACGCGATGTCAACCCTTCAGTCACGTGGTGCCGAAGTATAGGGAGGCCCTTCAGCATTGTCACAATTATAATATATTAATTTATTACAATTATTAAAATTCTATCAAAGCAGCATCCTAACTGACCATCTCTATTCAAATTACTTATAAATTAACTATTATACCTAAATAATACAATAGATCAATTGGCATTTATCATTTATACATGAATTTCAAGTTTCTTCATAATAATTTAATCAATTAAAATATACCAAAAAAATTACCTTCAAAGAAAATGGTTCACAAAATTCAATATGAGCTTTTCCAAATTTTGAATGAAGAGTCCTCCATATTGCCTTCACAGCTGAAGTGAAACTTTCCATCACTTTAGGTCTTCCCTAAAAGTATATTTTATATTATTAAATAATATTTGAAGTTAATAAATAAGATTTAATTTGTAATAATACACTAGATCCTTGATTTAACAAAATAACTGGAGGAAGGATTGTCTGCTATTGTCAAAAGTCTGCTAAATTGAATTTAATGGACTTTGGACAGTAATGAACACAAATATATTGCAATATCAGCTTAATAATGGCAACAAAAATTACTATTTTGTTTTATTTAAGTCAGAAGTATAGAAAAAAAATTATTAAACTTAATATTTACATCAACTGAAGGACAATTCAATTGATATAAATATTAGTACATATTGTATGTATATATATTATACAACAGTGACATGCCATCCATGGAAGCTGTGAAAGCACTGCATCCCATATATTTTCTAAAATATAAATACATATTGTGATTTTTTCATATTTTAACATACTTTGAATTAATTAAAATTAATATTTTATTATAACCGCATTATGTATCTTATTACAAATTTCAATACTACATATAAAAGTAAATGATAAGATTGTTATTGCTATTGCATATATGCATATTCCCAATGGAAGTGCTGTATCGTCAATAATGGGAAAATATATCAAAGGCAAAAATATTTGAATGGTGTAAAGCAGCCAGATTACAAGCATTCATGCATGTGCTTTACAAAGTACCAGCCTTGTAGTCATGGATGCTACACAATAAAATATCGTATAACGCTTCCAATGATTCTATCCAGGGCCAGCACAACTTCCCTATCATCAAATCTCACCACACGTCACTGATCTACAACATGAAATCAATATCTTGTCTAGAAGTTAAAAAGCAAAATTTACCAACTGTTCAGATACAAAATTTCCATCAACAATTTTTTCATAGCTAATTGCAACAGGAACAATGTATGCATCAGTGGTAATACCTGAAAAAAAAAAAATGTATTAAAATTACTTTTATAAATGCAAATTAAGAATATATGATTATAAAATATAAATAAATTATAACTAAATGAAATTATTTTACCTTCTAAAACAGAATCCACAACAACAGATAGCAATCCTGCTTTTGGCATGCAAGATTTTCCACTTCTAGATCTTCCGCCTTCTATGAAAAATTCTAAGCTGTGTCCAGAGCGGAGATTCTCCAACATATACTATATAAAAATTCAAGGTTATCATCATATCTTGATTACTAATAATTGTTATTTTCAGCTTAAAGATAGTATATTTTTAATAAAAATAATACAGATATTATCTGTGTAATGCACTTTTGATAGCACTTAATAATAAAGCATGATTTGCAACTTAGAATTTAGCATTGCATCTATATTTTTCTACCATAAAGTTATCGTGCAAGGCTGCCCTCAAGGTAGTATTCTTTCATTCTTGTTGTGATGTTTCATTGCAGATAATCTTCTGAAGGACCTTAATGGTTTTGATTGTATATCCAGGGTATTGTTCTGCTTTGCACAGGGGAATTTCCTGGTACACTGTCAGACCTCCTTCAGAGGCCTGACATGTATGCAGAACTGGTGCAGGCATAATAGCTTGAGCATCAGTCTTGAAAAAACTGCTATTGTACTCATTACTCCCAGGAAAGCTCTAAAGAGTTTTTCTGAACCCCCTTCTCTGCAGTAAAAAAACACAATTTTCTTCTTCAGTCAAATAATTCAGATTTGCTAACAGAAATTTGGCTCTACTGAGGAACATAATAAAGGAAAACTTTTATGATGGTTCCAATAGCATGTTACTTTGGTTTATGTTCAATGGGTATTATCTTGGTCTCCTTTACCACTCACTTTGGACCCAAAACTGATAATGGCACAGATGCTACGTAGCATTTGTGGGGGCAGTATAGTAGGGACATTTTTGTCCCACTGTTTTTCAAGAAAGGTGCTAGCTATTATTTAGTGTGTTTGCACTATTTTACTTAAAGTTCTTATTTTAATAACACTATCTAATTTCCTGATGGTTACAATTTAACACAACTTCACTTTTAAGCTCTTTGAAAGTGAATTTTTACACAAAGTTCACTTTTTAAGACTACAGCCTATTACAATAGCACAAAACATCCATAATCTAATGTACTGTACCAATCCTTATCATTTACTGAATGTACTGGTACAAAATATGTTCCATATCATGTTCGCATACTTTTGTTTTTAAGGAGACGGTTGATTCAATAAAATTACTGACGAGAGACCATAGAACGTAAGTCGGCCTGAAATGCACCTAGTTATGTATGTAATCAATCAAAATAATTAATTATAACATAATTAAACCGTAAGTTTTGGATCACTGAATTACTAGTAGCATTTCTACACACTTGCAGACAGAGGATTACGGAATTCAATAATTTCCTAATTCAACTATTTAATTTGTTTCTGACAATCAGGCTGTCATAAACGCACTTGATTCCTTGTAAGGTTACTTTAGTATTTGTTTGAAAGTGCCGTTTGCAACCTCAGTAAGCTGGCTACTTTATTTTGAGTAGCCAGTTTACTAAGTACAGGCTTGAACATACTAATGAATTGTTTCTCTTGTAGGTGCAAGACACAAGGATATTGCTAGCAATGTAAGTGCTGATTCATTGGCCAAACAAAATTTTACATTCTTTTGTGTTACCTGAACCAGCTTTTGGTATTTCCTATAATACTTTTTCTAAAGCTGAACTTTTAAAGCAGAGTAAGACATTTCTGCCCAGTTTGTGTAAACTAAACATTTCTTGTCTTTTCATAGGATTCATATTTTCTTTTTGGTTAGTTTTCTGACTGGTTTTGGTCACTTTCATAAACATCTTTGCTGACTGAAACTTTTTCTCCTCAGATTTTTGCCACTTTTTCATATCTGAGGAGATATGAAAAAGTCTGATTTAATTTGTGAGTGTACAAATCTTTGCTGTGGTATACTTGTCCATCTGGGTTCTCCTTTCTTGAGCCCTAGAGACATCCCTCAACTTTCCTTCAGAAGTCTACTGTCTTTTTAAAGAAATCAGAGTTAGACTTCTTGAGTAATTTCCTGTGGGGTGCACAATGGACCTTTTAGATCTAAGTACATTTGGCCTCCACCAGTATAACGAACAATAATTTACTGTGTTAATTTTCTATTGGCTACTAATATGCCTCAAATCCAAACTTAATAACCACAAATGACTTCAAGGTTTGTCATTTGTAATTGTTATAAGTTTAGGTCAAAACTTATTACTGCATTTCATTTTCATTAAAATATTGTTATTATTACGTCAAGTATTATTTCTATTGTGTATAATTTAAGTTTAAGCATTTAAGTAATTACATACTGTTTGTAAAACTGCACGATAAACATGATCCTTTCTTCCTTTTTGCGCATCCAACTTTCTTTTAATGAAAAATGCACCTAATCCTTTCATAAGCATTCTGAAACAATATATCATAGGTTAATTCAAAATCAATTAAATTATATATTTATAAAATATTTTAATTATACAAAACAATACCCAAAAAACGGAATAAACAGATTATCTCCTGCAGCGACAAGAGGAGCTCTCATATCGTTCATGTACAGAACATAAGTTACAAGAATGTAATCGAGATGACTTCGATGCAATGGAATGTATACGATAGGAATGTTTTGCTAATTAAAAAAAAAAGTTTTTTATAACACATTTTAAGTTTAAGCCATACAATAACTAATTGTAACTTACTTGATTGAATCTTTTTAAATTTTCGATTTGTCTCTTATTGACGTTAAGTCCGTTAAACATGCGCGATAATAATTTAAACATGACCCAACTTGCAATTCTGTAAATTTAATAAAGTAAAAGTATTTTTATAATTGACAATATATTTCATCTTATCACTTTCTGCAGTAGAAATTATTATTTTTTAGTGGCTCATTTAGACTTTAGACATATTGCGGTAATGATATACAATTAATAATTAAATAAACAAATTTTAATATATTACATGTTAGAATAATCATATTGAACTTGTTAAAAAACATATTGTTCTTTAATAATAAATATTAAATTTTATACATATTTCATTTAAATGAAAATCTTATCTGTCTTTTAACCAAACATAACTCACTTCAACAATATTGAAGACATGCACGATTTCATACGATCAAGTAATTCGACTGCTCGATGTTGATGCTTCTGATGTATTGGTTCCATTTCTTCATGATCTAAGTCATTTTCTGAAATTAAATTACGGAAAATTAATAATTCTATCTTGCTCAATATTTAAAGTACAGTACATTATGTCCAAAATACATATTACGTATATCTAAATATTAAGAGTAACTACCTGACATTTCTTCAATAGTTGCCTGATTAATGGCATCTTTTACTCTGGAAATAAAAATAAACTTTATTATATATCAAATTTTAATTCTCCTTACAAGATTGATAACTATAAATTGCAAAATAAATTGTTACATCTGACAACACAACATTAAAAATGAAAATTCAAAAATATTTACACAAACAGTTTATTAAACAATAAAATTTCCTATTATAGAATTTTTCATTTATTATTGAATCTATAATATGGCTGTAAAACTGAAGCAGTTAATGTACATGCTTGCCGCCCTGAGGAAACTCAGAAAATAATTAATAGACCACCCAACTATACCTTAAGTTGCTGAGAATATTTATTTAAATATAACTAACATTTTCAGCCTATTCAATAGGCCATCCTCAGGCCGAAAATGGTTAGTTACATTTAAATAAATATTCTCAGAAACTTAAAGAGGTAGTTGGGAAGTTCATTTTTCTGGACACTACCAGATTGTATTCTCAGATTGGAGGTACAGTCGGCTCTGTCCCTCACAGCTAGTTAGCAAACCTCTGAAAAAAAAACTACTGACAGGAACATATAAAACAATTGTTGTTGGAAGTAGCCATTGTTTAAAAGTTATTTTGCATGCATATTTGTTCAATGTTCATTAAAAAAAAAAATGCTATTCAGAGGTGACCAGTGTTGGGAGGTGGCCTTTATTGGAGGTTTGACTGTATTTTAAAAATTTTACAACATTCAATTATGAAAATATGAGAACTAATGAGTACAGCACTACATTGCCCACAGACACACAGGTAACAGTGACTACTATGCATAAACTCATTGAAAACTCCTTTGCACAGCACCATGAGGAAGAAAAGACGTAACTGGGTCAAGAGCAGAGCTCCAAGACAATGCATGGTCACATGTTACTGTTGATGCAATGGCAGCACAGATTTAAATTGATATGATTTTGCTGGTATGTCACTAGTGCTGTGTGATTTCTAAACATTCCAAATGTTGTAATCTTCAGGTTTCTCTGTAAAAGTTCTATTCAGATAAAGTGAAAAATGCCAAGACTAACACTAAAAATAATGTTATCTGTCTTTCAAATGTTTTTGCAAGGTAAAAAAATACTGTATATTGAATATAACATTATTTCAAAAAAAATGTTCAGAACCTGTAAAATCATCCAATTCTGAATTAAAAAGTCAATCTAGTTACTTTTTATCAGTCCTGTTTACATTAACTCTATAAATAATGCAGAAATACATAATTTAAAATTCTTAAATTATCATTTTAGTAATTATTATTTTTTTTATACGATTATAACACTTACTTTAGAAAATGAGTTCATTTTCTAAAGTCAGACGAGTTCATTCTCCAAGACTCCACTCCTGTAACACCACAACACGTAAGTATTATAATCGTATAATAAGCATTGGCATGAAGTGACATTGTATTATAGTAATTACTTTAACTTTCAAAAATAATTTCCAATGAATTACAAGTAACACACATTTTTAATCATAAAATATATATTATATTTTTCATTAATGTATACCTTGGACATTCTAGAACATTTTTAGATACATCAGCATAAACGTAATTTGATTTCCTATTCAAGATATACTTGGCATAGTGGTAGGTGCGGGCCAAAAAGCTTCGGTTACTAAGCAAAAATTTTTTTATAAATTATTAATTTATTGATTTAAATTAAGAAAAGTATATTCTATAAATTGTATTTAAAATATTAAGATACTTTTTATTATTATTATTAAATACTTACTTGTTTTCAGGAGTGAAAAGCATATTAACAGATGCAGATGAAGGTAATGTATCATTAGAAAACTAGAAAAAAAATTTTAAATTATATATTGCAAAATATTTAAAATTATTTAAAACAATTATATTTCAAATATCTTACTCTATTTGTAAAATTAATGATGTTGTTATAGCCATTTTTTAAATTGTTTTTTGGCAAACTATCCATTGGATTAGACGGAGACATACCGGGTTGAGTATCTTTCCATCTTACCTACAAAATAAAGAGTTTATAGTTTTTATTCTAATTTTACATTTGATAATTTCTATAAAACACTTCAAAATAATATTTGAAATATATAAAATCTCAAAAAAATAATAAAAATTCTAGTTTTTATCTGTAGACAGTAGTACGAGTTCATGCCAGTATGCATCAGTCTCAACAACAACTGATTTTTCACTTATCAAAAAATATAAATTTATCTTAAAATCAAAGCATCTCACATTCACAGTCAAAAAAAACTACTTATTAGTAATTAAAAGTAGATCGCATTGTGCATTAGCGATCATTAATTATTAATAAATGTTCAGCTACGTCTATAAATAGTCACATCTGTTCAAATAAAATTTGCTAATAACATACATATAATAACATGAGATATTTTAAAATAAATTGAAAATATTAAATAAATAAAAATAGAATAACTTGAACATCACAAAAGTTTAAATACTTATATTAAAAAATAATAGCATTTTAATATATTAATTATAATTAAACTTCAAAATTATAAATATTAGCAATTTATATTTGAAAAATATTGATTTTTTTAAACATTTATTATATGTCGGATAGTTTTGGTTTAATCTAAAAAATGGAATAATGATGAAAAGTTCATAAAACTTGAACAGGAAGATAAGGGGACCAGTAAGATGATCAAAAATTAAATTATAATTGAAAATTAAAGTTTAAAAAAAGGCAAAAAAAAAAGCCTTATTTTTCAGAGTGGAGCAAGTTTTTAAAAAAACAGTGTAAATTCTGATATTGAGTAATATTTTCATTAAGTCTGACTCCACCTGAGATATGATCTCTCCTTTGACTTAGAATCTCCAAAACGTAATAGCATCAATGCCCCATTTACAAAACTTTTTGTTCATGTGTTCCTGAGATATAAAGCAAAATACAAGCCAACACATGCATACATACATACAAAATTTGACACACTGATTTTTTGGAATGAGTAAACTTAAAAACATCAAGAAATGCAAAATGGGTCAAAATTTCACTCTGATTCATTTGGGAAAGTAAAAATATTCCATTTTAATCATAAATAATCAAAAATAAAAAAAATATTTTGTGTCAGGTCATGTTTCTTCATTGTATTATATGTGATCTTATCAATGAAAGGGCTGTTGAGAGCTTGTATGAGCCATGAGAAATATGTAGAATGTTTCTTCATTAATAAAAAGCAGTCTTAAAGATTTTATTTTCTGTTAGTAGAACTAGCATTAATTTTAAAGGGGTAGGAATCACTATGGGCTTCTAAGTTTCTTGATGGCCCATTTATGAAATAGCCATTATATCATAAAAGAAACAATCATTAAAGAAGAAAAACATTTTTTATCCCATCTAATAATTTAGCAAAAAATATTTAATTAACCGAACATTATCAGGTCATTAACTGAACGATCTCTATACCAGGTCATCTTCACGTCACATAACAAACAGATTAAACAGTTTGAAAATGTTTATTAAATTAAATCTTTCTTTCTAAATTATGAAATTATTAATTTTTTTTCTTATTGTTAATTAAACAGTAATATCATACAAAAAAAAAAATAATAATTGTCACAAATACAATTTCTATTGTGTCTGACTGAAATTCATAAAAATGTATCATTAATTAATTAAAAGAGGTTTTTTGTTAATTGAAGAAGTAATAAAGAATATGTTATAATTTCATATGATCGAAGAATTCATAAATAAAGACATCTTATACTAAAAAAAGGAAAGATAAAGAATAATGTTTGTAAGTAAATAATAAAACTGTAAATTTACTATCAACTATAATGCTAAACGGCAAAATTTATGAATTTATCATATACAGTATTCGTAAATAACTGCATACTTCTGTACTTTGAGATTTATCTGTATTTATTTTCCAAAAGAAGTTAATAGTTTGTTAAAGTTGCTACATTTTACACAAAAATATTTTCAAAGATATTTTTGTGAATATAAAATATACGCTTAATCATTAATTAATTCAATTTCATTTACAGTAAACTTATAAGAATATCTCTACATAATTTTCATGTTTTTCAAAATAAATCAATTAATCACATGGCTTTAAAATAACCAAATTTTAAAAATGAAATAAAACCATTGAATTTTCAAATCACTATAGGTTTGGCTTATGAAAAAAACAATATGCAAATAAAATGTGAGAGATTTATAAATAATAGATTTTATCTTAATATTAATCTAGTCATTTTACTGATAAAATATGCATTTAAACATAAAAAACTTATTAAAAGTGGAAGTAAATTAGTAAAATTTTGTTTCTTAAAATGTATAAAAATAGCATTATGTAATTTAGAGGTGATACCTAACAATGCTGAAGATTAATAATTTAACAAAATGTGCACAAACAGTATTTTTAAATTTACGTACCTGTACATTAACTTAAATACTTTTAGATAAAATTATTTTGTTATTAAAAAACATACTTTGCCAGAAATCTTGCACATACAAAAAGATATATAGCCAAACGTTTGCCTTAAATACTCGGGCTATAAATCCGCTAATTTTAATAATTAATACTAAGTAATTTGCTACTAAAGGTAGATGTTAGGCATCATCTCTTATCTAAATTAATAATTATGATTTAAATAATTTATTAAATAATCAAAGAGCTTATTTTCAAAGTGATGTATCTCCATTTTTTATTTTTTTTTTAGTTCATGGCACCAACACATTGGTAATATGCTTCTCTATAGTGCTACAATATATTTTTTCCAAAACGAGTGTTTTTTTCTGTTGAAAAATGTATCAAAAAATTGGTTTTCTTTTCAAATGTGATGTTTTTCATTTTGTATTTATTTCCAAACTGTCGCATTTCCATACAGCCAATTACAAAATGTATTTTGGTCACATGACTATTTCACAGTAATAACTACTTTCTGAAGTACAAGTGCTATTGTGTTTGATAGTTTTGTTAATTTTTCTTTAATAATGGCCACATTTTCTGAAGAAGTTCAAAAGGTATTCAGTCAATATGCTAGAAAGAGGTCATGTATTTTTTTGTAGAAATTTTTGTAAGGAAAATGAATTTGTTTTGTGATGGATGCAATGCACGAAACAAAAATTACACATTAGCAGCAGTGCTAAATAAACATTAAGATATATATAGCGTAATTTTTGAGATTACATATCCAGTGCGAGGTCCCATAGATAGGGCCTTTGGAAGGGTGGAAAAAATGTTAAGAAAAATAAGAACTGCTTCTTTTACCAGACCACAATAAAATTTTTGATCATTTACAACAAATACAGTATATGTTCTTGGTAAAGACTGGCAAATTGCAATTTATTCACACATTAAATCAAAAATGGATTTTAAAGTATCTGAAATGAAAATAATCAGAATAAAATCTAAATATGTTTGTTGCAAACAGCACTATTCTGATAGATCGGGGATGTGCACGATTACAACGTCAAAAAGAGGTAAAAAAATGGTCATGTCTATTAGTTGATTTGTTTTCATTGGGGAATAAACTTAAGCTGGAAAAATAGATGATGTGCGAAAACTTTTAAATAAACTGGTAATAACATTTTACTGCAATGACATTTTACAAAAAGCGTTTTCTTGTTTAGAAAGTGATTGATTCTAAATAGGTACTGTGACAGAACAATTAAAATACGATTTTCATTGATAAATTTCTGTAATCATTAAGTTTTTATTTTCTTTCTTTTGGAACTAGAATATAAAAATAAAGCTCTGTACCAATAATTAAGTTTTTACCTTAATATTTAAAGCAGTGGTTCCCAAACATTTTTGATTCTAAGTACCTTTGCTAAATACAGATTTTCCCAAGGTGCTCTATGTCAAATTCCAGCAAATACATTAAATTCTATTATAAAAATTTTATAACATTTTGTGGCACCGCTGTGAGAAATAACTGATTTAAGGCGATCATTTAAAATTTGTATTTTCTGGAGATACATCACTTTAAAAATGAGCTCTTCAATTTAGAATCATCTGGAAGTATATAGCCTGAGTATTTAAGGCACTCTTTTTGCTATGTATATGTATATGTGTATAATATATATAAACAATTTATGCTTTTGTCTAGCTATTGAAAAATAAACACTTTATCAAGTAAAATCATTTATTTCTTTATCAAAATACAAAAGTTCTTATCCTTATCACTTAAACTTTCAAAATACACAACAGCATTGTTTTGTGATAAATAATTACAACTGATTTCTCAAACACTTAAAAAAAGATTAAATTCTACTTGTTCAATATATATATTAAACAAAATTTTCATTTTTACAAAAAGAAAAATTTTTTTTCCTTCAAAACAAATTTTTAGTTTTACAAAATTAACTTAATTTTAATATTCCTAATGATTTTCAGAATTTTATAAGAGAAAGAACATTAAAAACAGATGTTTGCTTTTTACATTTTAGAGAAAATTCATAACAATTTATTATATTTTAAAGAATTACAGTGCATCTGAAAATGAAATAAAAACTGTAATAATATTTAATGCTGATAAGCATTTCAATTCAAATTTTAAAAATCTTTTTTTTACTATTGCTTTATTTAGAAATTTATTTGTAATCTTCAAATTGAAGAAATTTCAGCATCATCATGTCAAAATAAAAGCAGATTGCTTATTACAGCAAGCAAACAGAAGAGTTTATAACTCTTATTAAATGTTTCCATTAATTTGCGTTTAATGCTTTGCGTTTAATGCTTTGCGTTTAATGCTTTTAATGGTATATTAAAATTCATGCTGTTAAATTAACAATCCACACCTCATTAAACCAGTTAAAAGATTTAATAAGTAATATTTTCAGCTAATTATGTCACTATTGTAAAGTCTTGGAACATTAAATAGAAACAAACAAAAGTTAACAGATTATATATTTAATGCTATATTCAAAACTAAGTTTTGTTTCATCTATTTAATATTTTATGTTTCAAAACCTTACAATGGCTACGTAACTAGATAAAATGTTAGTTGATATAAATTTTAACTAAATTTAATAAGCATGATTTCTTATTATTTGTTAAAAAATCAGTCAAAAATCTCAATTAATGTAAAATATTGATTGTAATAATAAATTTTAACTCCAAATTTTAATAAATAAATAAAATATTACTATTTGTTATTATATAACAACTTTTAATAAAAGATAAAAAACTATATCTCACTGTTTTGGCTGGTTTGGTAGTAGAGTCTGTTGAAGAAGAGAAAGAAGAATTGCTGATGATGCCTTTTCTCCTGCTGCGGACAGACGAGGACTGAACTATTTTGTTTTCATCTGACGTTTGAGTAGATATTCTTCTGTTTGCCGTCGTTCCGATCGTTAACGTTTCCGTTGCTTTACCTCTCCAAATTATACATACTTGTTTAAAGTATTGAGCTATTTCAATTAAGGCAACTCTGAAAGAATAATTATTATATAAAAATTTATTTATTTTTAATTGATTACATGTAAAAATCTCTAAGGCTATACATATCACCCCACTAAACAAAACAAGAAATCCCATTAAAATAAAATAGAATACGACACAATAAATAATCTAACACAGTAAAATGATACAATAAAGGTAATGTAAAAATCTAAAAGTCTAAAGATTTATTAATTATATTCCTTTTAACATATATTTTTGAATAAATGAAAACTGAAATGAGTTTTTTAAATATAGAAATGTTTATACATGTAAATGTCATCCTAAATATGTATTAAATCTATTAAATCTTCATGGAAACTACAAAATTATTTTTAGTGAATAATAAATAACAGTTACTTTTTATATCTATACACATGTAACTACAATGGATTCTTATTACTAACAGTTATATACACTCGGCTTGACAAAAGATGCATCAAATTCCTTAGTGGTCCAACTTGGTAACTGCATTGTGAGCATAATGGGTAGTGGACATATCTCACTAGAACACATCCTTAGTCAGGATAGTATTTCTTTAGGAAGGGTACTGGTCTCTTCTGAATACATTCATTGCCATACACTTCTTTAATGACGGAGAGCCATGAATAGGAAAAGAAGGTCTGTGAGCATTCCTTTGGACTGATTGCCAGCCAAACCAGAAGCTTCAGCAAAAACTTAGAGTATTGTTCAAATTTGACTTCAGGATTCACATCCAGCCATTCTTTGATGTAACAGTGATTGATAACTGCACATTTACTTCTGTCAAAAAGAAAAGTCAAAAAGGACTCATTGTTCATAATCATATCAAGATTGTTTGATGCCTTCAAGACTCAATCATGCTACTTTGCAGAAAAGTATTTTTTAGTAGCAAGTTGTTTCTTTTTGTATTTTGGAGCAGTGTTTACATCTTTAGTCACTTAAACTCTTTCAGAATCTGGCAAACATGTTTATGTTAAATTCTTAACTTTCTTACCAATTTTCTAAGCATTTGTTCAATGTTTCTCATGGCTTCTTCCTCCAATTATTTCCTGTACTTTCAATCAGTTTCCTCCTCTTTTGATCACTCCCCATTCTTCTTTCAACTTCTTGTTCTACCCTTGAAATGATACTATATATACTTTATGCCATGGAACTCCCATTATAAAGAAATGTTTAATTGTATAAGATTTCCCAATAAAATTACTGAAAAATGCTATTGAAATTTGTGCATATTTCTAGGATATTAAATACACGCCTATATAATAAACAAAATAATTTAATTTGTATGTCTTTAAATCAAAATAAACTTTTCCAAAACAAAATAAAACAGTATAGAAATTAATTTAAAATAATAAAGATTTGAAATAGGTTTATACAAAATCCTACATAAAAATATAAAATTAAGATAGCAGTAGAATGAATGTCAGTAACAATAAATATTTCATCAACTACAACATACAAACAACTTATTGCGAACTACAGACTGAAGTCCAAAGTCTTCATAATCTCTTTATAATACTATAATCATCTCGCAAATTGATGCATTTCCTTTATCTTCCTGATAATCTATTTCAAAAAGTTATTTAATTTTATGAGAATATGATTATTAACGATGACAAAGAGTTTGTTTATCAGAAACTTTTTACTTCTAATATTCAAAGTAAACTGTTAAATAAAACTATTTCATGTAATTTTTATAATTTTGGATAATAATGCTGTATATTTTTACCTGACAAAGTCACGTTGTATATAATGCCCAATTATTTTACTCTAGTGAAAATTTTAATATTCCTAATGGAGCAATAAAACTTTATAATGTAGTATTATAACTTAATAGACAATTGTATTATGGAATGCTTTAATTAGAATTTTGATTTTTTGAGTCAAGTGAATTGTGATGTACACACATACATCATATATTTATATATATTAGAAGTATATAAAATATGAACTAGGCACAGATAATACTGAAATTATATACACTTGTATAGATATTAATAGATATTTCTCTATAAATATTACTGCAAGATATTTCATAATCATTTGACATGTTATCCATCACCACACTGTAGTATGTACTTTTATATACAAGAATAAAGTTTAATGCACATACACATATTAGCTATATTATAAATATACATAACAGTCTCTAATAACTAGTGTTTTCAGGCAGACTATAAGTCTGCACAGCAGTAATGTTATCAAACAACAAAACAGATTTCTTTATTGGACTATTATGGCTAAATAATTACTAAGTAATTTGGTAGGAAAGATGAAAACTATTCCTATAATAGCATAGATCTTATTAATATATATACCATAAACTCCATGTGGATTAAGATAAAAATTGACTGACTGGAGAAAAGAAAACAGTTAAAACATTATAGAAATTAGAGTCATCATACAAATTAGACACTTATCAAATATTAAAAAATAAAATCCTGGAAATTTCATAAATAAAATAAATATTCTTAACTTCTTTTCAATAAATAAAAAAAGGCAAAATACTAAAACAATAAATTGATTGATTAAACCACACAATTGATGTTAAACCTGTAATCCTATAAAGAAAATTCTAATGTACAATTGTTATAAAAAATAAAATAGGAATTGTTATTTCTAATCTTTCTTTTTTTTCCTATTAACAATCATCACCACTATAACAAATAATTCCTAAATTGCTAGAATTGTTTAGATATTTTATCTTATATTTATTAGATGATTATCAGTGTTCACAAGATGATTTTTCTTTTAATCTTATGTCCTTTGCTATCTTGATATCTTCCAAAACTGTTCAAGTACTTATCGAATACAAACTGAATGAAATAAAATTAATTATTATTCTATCTGTATTTGTATTATATTAAAAAAAAATTGAAAGTTTAAAAGTATATTCTAGGAATTTACTTTTAATTTTTAGATTTTACTTCTAATTTAAAAGTACAGCTGTCCCTTGATAGTCCGACGTTTTGTAATCCGACATGCTCAGTAGTCCGACGCACCTCCCGTCAAGATACCCGTCCCCATTACGTGTCTGCTTGCACAGAAGCATGTCATGATGTAAATCTCCCCACCCAATTCTTACACGATGACACACATTTCGTGTGCTTTCTGTGAGCAGTTCTGTTCAAACAGTTGGAGTAGGGAATATTATAGGCTACTGCTAGCAAAACAATGCCAAATATGTAATCATTTTCAGTAATCCGGACACTTTTGGTAATCCGACACCTCTTTGGTCCCATACCTGTTGGATTATCAAGGGACAGCTGTAAAATCTAATTTGAATTACCTTCACTCAAGTCTTGACTATTCAGCTAATACTTTTATATTTATTAATTAGATCTAAAAGGTCTAATAAAATTTAATTATGATCTAGAGAGAATTTTTTAAATTTTATTTAAAAAAAATTGCAATTTAGGAAAAAAAACACATAATTTATTCTATGATAAAGTGCTACCATAATATATTTATTCAAAAATAATATTTATAAACTACATTAAATAACAATGAGAATTTAAATTTTTTTTATTTTATTATGACAACTCATAATTGATCATACTTAGGGGCCGTCCATAAATTACGTAAGGGCGATTTCGGCCATTCTAGACCCCCACCCACCCCTGTGTAAGAAAAAGTAATATTTTCTTTTTATCCCCCCTCCCCTTCCTATCTTACGTAATATTTTGGCATGATTTTATAGAAAGATTTTAAATTAACCAAAAAAATGTTTTTAATGAAACCCTAAACACATTAGGTCCAAAATATATAATTATTAACTAGTTAATTAATATGTACTAATATTTATAAAAGACTTTATGTGAACACATTTTAAAATATAAAAATTTAATGAATTCGAATGAACAATTTATTTTAAGAACTTTATTTTTTAATTATTAACAATATTATTATTATTATCATCATCATTAATCAACGTCATTATAATTGTTTTTATATTAATTTTAATGTTCGCAAAAGACGCAAAAAACTTTGTCAGATCGACTAGCTTGAGCATGTGTAAAAGAAACATCATACAAGATAAAACAAGAGAGAATAGAAAGAAACTATATTCCGTTGCCATATTGATTACATCTTGGCTAAGGCCAAGAAAATAAACTACATGCTGCTAAAATGTGTTAGGTGCACTTGGGGACTAAATAATAAAGCTTATAAAACTCTATATAATGGGGCAATACAACCAATGCTACTTTACGCGGCCTCTGGCTGTGATCATGTAACTAATAAAAGTTCAGTAGCAAGTAAATTACTCTCTCTTCAAAGCCAGTTTGACATCAGAATTTCAAAGTGCGGCAGAACAGTTTTTACTAATGCCTCTCTGATACTAGCGGAGCTTATTCCTTTGCCACTATGTATCGTAGAAAAGGTTCTAAACTACTACATCAGAACTACAAACGTCAAGGCTCAACAACAATCTCTACTCCTATCTACGGCTGTTCATACGCTACCACATTGCAATTACCCTACTATCTCTGATCATCATCCTGTGAACAAGGTTATTTGGTGTCATCTGCTTCCTCCATGGATAATCACGCAGACATTAATATCTTCACAGATGGGTCCAAAAGTTCACTTCTTTTCGGCTCAATTATCTGTATCTTCATCCAAACTGACATATTTTGCCAAAAATATGTTAGAAGGTACAGATACCTCCAACATACCTCCATCTATTAAGCTGAAGAAGATGCCGACTACCAAGCTGTTCAGTGGGCCACTTCACTACCAAACGAAACTCTGTCTATCAACATTTACAGTGATTCTCTGTCTGTCCTAAAAGCTCTATTAAATCCCAATTGCAATAGCAATAAAATCGCATATATCCAGCACCATATTAAAAACCATGTAAATAAGATAACTTCTATATTTGTTCCTGGCTATACTGGCATACTAGGAAATGAAAAAGACGACTTTGAGGCTAAGGACACTGATTTGGACTACATTCGCATCCCTCTCTCACGTAGCAGCCTTAAAAATTATATTCGTAACAACGTTATG